GGTACACACACTGGATAGTAAAATGTCATGTTTAATTTCTTTCCTTTGTCTTTTTTTCAAAGATACTTTAATCTTGTAATCCTTCCACTAGTTTTATTTAAGTCTAATACATCAGACTARATTCTGCGTCATTCCCATGCCGAATGACAYAAATATCATCTGGCTGTGGTATGAACAGGCAATGTTGGTTTTTTAAAATATGGCTGTAGAATTCTGTAGGCTTTTTTGTTGATTTTCTTAAGTGAATCAGCAAACATTCGCACAGTTAAGGGGGGATGTACTTCTGTACAAAGCTTTTGAAGGATTGTTCTCACTGGAGTTGAATTTTCAATATTGCTTCCAAACTCAATAATGTATGCTAAATCTGTGTCTCCAATATGGCGAAACCACTTTTTGCCAACTCTCTCAAAGTCCCATGTTCCATGGCGTTTCTTGAAGAGTACTTTACAAAGACTTTCAGTTTGATCAAAATTATTGTCAATAAAATCTTTTAAGAGTTGTTCTGAAAGAAAACATGGATGAATAATTAGAAAAATATAGGTTAATATATATATATTTTTATATGATTAATTATAATAAGGTTTATATACTTAGTAATTCAAGCCATGCATACCATCATGGGTCTTTGACGTAATTCCAAGAAGTTCAGCTATTGCTTCTTCATCACTTCCTCTTGAACTTTTTGTTCTTTTCTTGATAAAAAATAAGTAGAACCCAATACCAACACTTAAGGTTACAAATATTATCCCACTTGAAAGAATCAGAGCAATAGCCCATTTAGGTAGACCTTTCATTGGCTGTAAATCATTTCTGGTTGTTTGATTTACAAATTGTGTTGTACTATTGGTAATGATGAACTTGGGTCTTGGAGGTGGTTCTTTTGAGACAGAAKTTTCTGTTGATGATGCAGTGATAWGGGTTRCTGRAGYTTTTGTTGTAGATTCATTTGCTTTGGTTGTTGGTTCAACTGTTGTTGTTAATTTTACTTTGTTTYTTAGTTTTACCATGTCTGTCACTTTTATAGCAATTTGAGAACAAGCAAATGTAATTGGGTCATATRTATAACCTGGTAAACAATCTCCACATTTAGCATTCTGATACTTTGTACAATTCTGTTTATACACTTTGTTCGTACATATTGTACAGCTTTGACATGGCTTTTTGTCAAACTTGTCTGAAAATGTTCCTTCTGGACAGTCCTCACAGTGTCCAACATTTCCTATATCAATTGTAGACCCACATCGAATGGAATACTGCTGCGATGGAACACACTCTGGACAAACTATACATCCTTCAATACTTGCAGTTTTTGGGTTCCTTAGTCTGATGTCATTAGGGTTGGAACATATAACACCAGCCAATGCAGGAACCTATTATACAATATCAAAAATAACATCAGCAATACACCATTGTTTTGTAATTTGATACTTTTTTGGAGGGTAGGTTTTGTTCTAGAATTGCAAGTTTCTACACAGACGCCTCTCAGAGACAAAAAAAAAAAAAYYYYAAAAAKAAACAAACAAAAATCAAACAAAACGTAAAAAATCTTATTTTCAAACCCAAAAGAAAGGATCGTTAACACAGAAAAACACTGATCACGTAGTTTTGACGTTTGGCGTTCGCAGTAATTTAGAGAGTTTTAGATTCACGTCTACCGCAAACGCCAAACGTCAAACTGGCTTTCATGTTTTTTCTCAAAATTCAAAACAAATCTAAAACCGCTCCGAAAGGAATAGTGGTGTGCTTATGTACGAAAAAGTGATCTATTTTATACACAATTGCGGAAGAACGGAGCGTTAATACTGAAAAACAGTGATCACGTGATCATTATTGACGTTTGTCGTTCGCTGTAAACGCGTATCTAAAACTCTCTATTAACTTGACTCTAAAACCCTGTGGTTAGATAAAGTTAACTACTAATCAAAGAAATGAAAAGTCATTCTTGCGTCCATTCTTATCGTGAAAATACTGGAAAGCATGTTGGTATTTTAGATGAATATTGTAATTACGTAATTCCCGGAAACGGGTCAAGGAAAAAGGGATTTCTCGGCYACTCTCTCTGATTTCTACGAAAATATCGTTCATCATTTCAAAAATTATTTGCTTTTCAAAAGTCGTTTATAGCAGGAGTGATGCTAATATTAATACTCGTAAACTCACTTGTACGATGAACACAATTGAGAAGACGTACAACCTGGCGAAACTTGCAATAGTACACTGGACTTTGCTTTGAGACTTGTCTTTCACCTTAAAAATAAATAAAACACGATTTTAGCTCGATGTCTGGAGCATTTCAGAATATGGTTTAACAGGCAATTTATAAATAAATGCAAATCAGACTTAAAAATGCATAAAATTACCGCGTGCTCGTCGTCTTTTGATTTCTCCCTTTGATCGAATTTGTGACCTCTTTGTGCAGAATTCATTGAAGGATGAACGCTATCTTGTGCAGCTTTAGCTGGATTCATAGTTACAAATGACCAGAGCTCACCATGATATTGTGATAGTGTTATACTATAGCGGTATTTTATAAATTCCATGTCGGAATTACCCAGATGGACAGCGTAATTGGGGATTCCCCTAACTAAATATATCCATCCAATCAGAGAACGCTACTCAACATGATAAAATGCGCCATGTTGTGCTGGGGCACATCTCCAGTGATGCTGAATCATCACTAAGAACGTAAACTAAAACAAAAACGTTAATGCCGTCTCAAAAACGTTTCCAGGCTGTTCTTTGTGTAGAACTGCGGGGTTAATGGCTCCCCCGCTGTCAAAATACAAAAGATATGACAACATATTGTAAACCAATCCCGCATTATCAATGAACAGTAAAAAAGTTAACTCAATAAAGAAGAGTGTACAGCGCGTTTCCGTGTAGTCGCGCAAATCATGTGAGCCATGTGACTCTTGAGAGGGAAGGGGGAATTTATTTGGCACCCTTCACAATTYAACACGTTAGAACACGTTGACTGCCTACATGCAGATCAGTCTGTATGATAAAAAAAAGAGAATAGAAATTTAATTCAACTATTTAATTTATTAACAAGTGGTTACTATAACAATCTAAATAGCGTGTATGCATACACCATTGAAATAAATGACAATACTAAATACATTTCATAATAGTTTAATCTTTAAATTTTAGTTTTCAAAAAACATATTTTTTTTTGTCAGACTTTTATCAAAATCTAAATGATTATCAACTGAAGCAATATCCATTGATAATAATATCAAGGTACCTGAAATTTATGCAAACCAAAACACTACACTATTTTTGTAGTTCAAACCTTCAAATCACTTTGAATCTAAAGTCATAAAACTTTGTGTGGAGTTTCTTTTGRAATGCTACAATAATTTGCAGAATCATCACAAAAAAGCCATTGAGAACAATTATCCATATAGTGCTTGTGAAGCAACAGAATGTTCATTATTTTTCTTTTTAAAAGTTGTACAGCTTAGTAGAAAAACTAAAATAAAAGCCATTACATTATGTAGCAATCACTTCAAACACAGTCCCTTATTGCCAACCTTTCTGTATAAAAGGCTTATAGCAATTTTGGTCAACAGAGTTTTTGATCAACAATTCCAAACAGCATTTAAGATACTTTTTCTCTTAAAATATTCTTTACTAGATGCCTCTAAGGAATATTATCCTCATATTTCTAAGGCTTAATACATACCTCACTAGTGGAACACAAGCATGCATATTAAAGCTAACTGACTGACCAACCTCACTAGACCTCACTTCCTTCCGGATTATATTATAGCTGCTTGTCCATCACTTCTAGTTTCTCTACAGARGGACCTCTCCATAACTCATCCTCAGMCGAGTTGGGTAGATTACCAGATGGTGTGGTAGGTTCTAAAGGACGGCTGGAGTCTGCAGGTTGAGSTTCGTAAGGATGAAGCTCTAATGGATGGTAAGAGTCTGTGGGTTGATTCTCATGKCCATGCTTCAACGATACATTGATAAAATTAATAAAATATTATCAAATATTATTCTAATGAATTCTTATGTATAGCTTTTACATGTATTCTACAATTGCTTATGAAAAAAATGAATTTATTGGACAACCAATTGTAGAATTTCATTAATTACTGTTGGGATAATATATATTTATTGGCTTTTGTGGAACATGTACAGGGTTAGCAGGGAGGCAAGGCAAAATGTCAATTCAGAAAATGGTTGCTTTAWAWAACATAATGGATGCTTCAAAATAAAGGAAAGGTAAAGATAAACAGCATTTTGTTGTGTTTTATTGGGCTGGTGAACTCCAGGRCATTAGTTTCCAAAACAAATAAATACCAGGGACTACTGAAAGTGTTAATATTAGCTTCAACATGTTATCAAAAGATTAAATCACTAATTATCAACCCCTAATAGTAAGAACAAGCATTGCCTTTACTCCAGAATACCCTGTCACTGGGTACAAAGAAGAGAGATTCTAATATTAGTTACCTTTGTTGATACTCTAGATGTATTTCTCATCAAAGTCATAGGTCGTCCTTTAACATTTCCTGTAGTACCACATCTAACGAACATTGGGAGCCATGATTTWGGAATAGTAAAGACAATCTGTGCCCAAATGAGTTCAGAGAAACCAAAAAATAAACACCACAGCCACATCTCGAACTCCATTTTAGAAGTATGGAAAGCTCTGGTGAACACCTCTACTGCTAGAATCTGATAATGTGAATAAAAAACAATGTCAGTTTATACATYCATTATGATTATCCCAAACTGAGATGTACATTAAATGGAGTACAAACAAATACATGGAAGTACATGTAAAGGAACAATGGATAAATGAAAGAATGACAGAATGAATGAATGACCATCCGTGATAGATGGTTCAAATATGAATGAATGGAACGAGAAGTGACAGGAAGAACAGGATGAATGGATGTGAATAGTGAATATGTGGAATAAAGAAATGGGAGGATAGTTGAAGTGAATGGCTTTTGAATGGAGACATGAATGGAGATATTTTATTAATTGATATGTTTTGTTAATGTTTTAGTGTTACCTGGACTGCAACTTCCAATATCCAGATAGCAATAAAGGAGACATTTCTATGAATTCCTTGGAAGACATTTCTACCATGAATCTCRCTGCAGTTGATCTGATTGAACAACTGCATGAATACAAATGAAGTGAACACCAATGATGAATGCATTGATGGTTTACACAAAGTCTCTTCCTCAAATCCATCCTCAATGTCCAGCATGTCATCACCAAGAAAGATCAGAATAAAGGTAATGGCAACTTGGTACAAAACATGACCAACAACATTGCGAATGAGAGAGCGGCCAAGCAATGGCTTGTATCTTCCATAGGGTTTGTATCTTAGGATGTCATCTGAGGGAACATCTCTTGTAAGAGTAAAAGATGCCAAGGAATCCATGATTAAATTAATCCATAACAACTGAGTGGCAACCAAGGGGCTTCTCTATAAAAAGTATTAAACACCTTTAATTGTCAGTTATTGTCTAAATTAGGGTAAAAATATACTGGTATCCTGTAACTGAAGTGAACTTGAAAATAATAAAAGAAATGAAAAATATGGAAAAAACCTACCCCAAGAATACAAGCACCAAATACAATTACAATGAATGAAGACCAAGTAATGATGAACTGGAACTGAAGGAACTTGGTGACTGTATTGAAGACATTTCTACCCCACTTGATGGCCCATACAATACTACCAAAGTTATCATTCAAGAGGATTACATCAGCATTGTCCTTGGCAACATCTGAACCAGCAACACCCTATTGGCAATAACAAAGATAAGCTTTGTACTGACAAACATTATGGCTAACATTTTGGATTGGATTAATAATAATACCTGCTCTGTTTTCATTAAACAGGAAAACAATAAAGAATAAGCAAAAAATACAAATAAATCAAATTAACTTAAAAACTTAAAAATGAATGAGCAAATGACATTATRGATCATTCAGCCAATTATTTTTCAATACAACACTCAATCACCAAACATGGTCATATTATCAGTCTGTCAATTAAAWAATTATTCATTCAATCATCCATCCTCACCATAGTAAAGCCAACATCTGCCTTTTGTAAGACAGGCCCATCATGAATACCAGATCCAGTGACAGCAACAATCTCYCCCTGAGGTTGTAGATTACTGTCCATAATACCTTTAACAAGAGTATATTTATCCCTTGCTGATGACCTGGCCAGAATGCGAAGCTTTGGCCACATGGAATTGAATCTYTCATAATTAATCTGAAAGCATGTAACATTTGTGCCATGTTTACTTTAATCAGAAATTAATAATGATAATGCATTCCTTTTACAAATACCATTTCTGGTATATGACAATATGTTTGTAGAATGGGTCCAACAAGAAGTATTTAAGATTATTGTATAAGTTGCCTTATAGCCTGTCTACATGCATCCCCACCCCTCCCCCCTACAGACAAAATTCCACTCCAAATTTTCACCACAGGGAGGGAGAGATATGAACAGATTGGAACAGATGTACACAGGCTAATTTGCCTTAGGACAATTCTTTTTTTAAAACTCACCACAGGAAGCCCAATAAATGTAAGTTGTATAAAACAAAATACTAACCTGTCCATCTGGATCTCTGATGTAATTATTGAATTCTTTCCCATCATAAATGAGATTTTCTTCCTGTGGTTTGATGATACCACACTTGACGGCTACAGCTCTAGCAGTATTCACATGATCACCAGAAACCATGCATACTCTAATACCAGCGTTATGACACTTATCAATAGCATTAGGAACCTATCACAACAAACAATGTCAATCAAAGTATTAACCTTATTGAGTTTAAACAAGATTAATAATAATCAATAATTAATATAATTAAACAATATTCATGCTTTATAATAATACAAATACATCATCATCATCATCATCATCATCATTTGGCTTCAGCATAGATAAGAGTAAAAAAAGGAATAATCATTTTGCTTTTTTTGAAATTTTTACCCCAATGTGCAAAAAAGCACTACTAGTCTGACATATCATTAGACAGAATACCTCCTCTCTGACTGGATCTTCTATTCCAACTATCGCCAATAAAGTAAGGTTTGATACTACTGACTCTTCACTTTCAAAGTCAATCTCACCTGGAAAACACAATATTCAAAAGTATAATATAATAAGGTATCAAACAAGATAAATACCAAGTAATCTTTATAGTTTACTATATATTAAAAGTGTGAAACATTTATAATGGTACAAATTAGTGCTAAATTAGTGTTTAACTTGCACTATTTACTGCTAAATAGCATTAAATATTATACATGTTTAACTTGTACTTTATTTTATTTGTGAATAGACATCCCTTATAATAAAAAACATGAAAAGGTGTTAGCCACATTAACCACACTGCTYTATGATGACTTATTTGGTGGATAAGCTTTTGTATAATGGTTAGATAAATCTAACCCTTTTGAAATCTGATAACCATATTTTACAACAGTTAATGCTGGATTGTATTCAACACATTTATACTGCACACACCTTGTCTGTTCATTTGGGTTTAACATGCTAGCAATCATTCAGTGTTGAATAAATATTTATGTACCATATCAAAACTGTCTTTTTTATCTAAAACAGCTCAAATACTCATGGCTAAATACTTTGACAGAACATGCAAATTAGTTAATTCAATGCATTGTCCAAACCCAGTAAAATCTCCAGTTATTCTATAAATTAATCCCCAATAAACAGATAATATTATTTRACCTTCAGACACACTTTTACTAGCAATGCATAAAGTCCTAAGTGCCTCTTGCTGCATGGGATGAATTATTTCATTAAACACTCTCTCGATATCTTCTTTATCAAATGGTTTGATCTGGCCATCAGTTGAATAAGTAGAAACACACTTTGGTAGTAAGATCTCTGCTGCACCCTTTGAGTACACTCTGTAGATTCCTTTCTCTGGTTGGGTGACTGTAGTCATTGATTTTCTAGAAGGGTTGAACTCATAAAGCTTTGTAAAGCTCTCCTCTGGATTGTCATCTCGCCATTGTTGATAGGTTTCACCAATATCAATAATAAATTGGAGGACAGCACAGTCTGTCATATTCCCAGCTTGGACTGGCAGATTATCTGGAGTTTTGGGTGGCTGTGTGATAATTTTACGACATTAAATAAATATTTTGTATATTGAGGCCGGTAAATATACTAAATCTTATTAATAACAATGTGAAAGTTCACCCACGTCCCTTATATCATTTGACAGGCTGTACATTTGAATTCAATATCAATARGTCATTGAAAGAAATTGTCAAAGTTTAGAACAAAAAACATATCACAAAAAACYATCACTTTCTATGCCGGGCTAAAATGTATTGTATCTAGTTTGTAGAAGTAGCTAAAKGAAATTAGGACATTAATAATGACATGGTAACATCTGGAACAATACCAAACTAAGACAAAGCATAATATATTGTGTGTCATTCAAAAATAAATGTATGATTATCAATAAATATGCAACAATTAATTAATTAATCATTCCATTTCAAGGCGCGACTCAAAATTTACAAGATACAAATTATGTATTATRAATATCATACTGTAGCTTCACAGTYCACTAGCTTTAATATAGAGCATTTCCAAGAGAATATTTCATTAAAGCACACAACATATATAATATTTGACCATCAAGTCTGATAAGAAATTTTGCTAAATATGAAAGAATCTTGCAATAAAAGAAATGGCCTTTAAACAAGAAGCAAAAATATGATTCACTAATTAAATTACTTACAATAATTCTGGATGTATAGCTTGTATTAATAGAGATGCCTTTGATAAGTTCAATAAACAGGTTACTAGGAATATTCTCCTTGTAGGTTCTTGGGTCTCCTTGAAATGTCTTATTTGTGGTGTAGATTTTTGTTACATGCATACGATGCTCTGTTAGAACCCCTGTTTTGTTGCAACATATATTGGTAATGTTGCCCATTGCTTCAATAATCTTCATGTTTCTCACTAAACTTTGGTTATCGTACATCATTTTGGTACAAAATGCCACTGCAATTGTAGKAGCAAGTTGGAGACCTTCAGGAATCGACACAACAAATACAACAATTCCCATTATGAAGGCCCTGACATATTCATTGATATGCCAACGATGAAATTGCTGTCCTTGTTTAGAATATGTATAAACACTAAACCTGATCATGATGATAATCATTGTCAAAGTTGCTATCCCAACTCCAATATAGCCAATAATACTTGCAACTTTGTTGATTTTGCCTTGCAATGTAGCATTATTTTCCTTACGTCTTCTTAACAGTGAGAGATTTTCTTTAGTKGGATGATCGCCATCCACACTAATCTCCAAAGTGTTTGGTGGTTTAGAGTCCTTAGAATACAGTGAAGCTTGGTAAATCCTAGTTGATTCACCAACTGCAAGGACAAGGAATCTTGCTGTTCCCTTAGTAACATGAGTACCTGAATATAACAGCGTATCTCCGTCTATYTCTTTACRAACTATACCACCATTGGCCAATGCCAGTTCATTTACTTCTAGATCAGTGCTTTGGATAATAATACCATCTGCTGGTACAACAGAACCAACTTCCACAATGCAAAGTTCACCTACAGTCAACTCTTCTCTAAGGATCTCTTTCACCTTGCCATCTCTTAAAACTAAGGCTTTTTGTGCTAAGTGTTTGCGCTTTTCTTGATAGCGATAATCACAGTCTTCAAAGTAACTACTCAATGCAGATATGAAAATCATCAGCGCAACCATTACCAGAATACCAATTCCTTCATACCATGCAACAACTACTTTATCATACTCYTCACACTGCTCAGGGAAGACAAGTCCTAAGATTAGAGACAACAGAGCACCTATTGCCAGTACAACTAATACCCAGTCAAGCATGGCTTCCAGAATAAACTTGAAGAAATTTTTAGGAGGACTAAGGGGGATTTCATTAGCACCAAACTCAGACCGTCGATGGGCTAGAGCCTCTTCAAAGCCCATGACACCCTTCTTTTTGGAAGTGTGCAGCTTCCTAATAACTGTGTTAAAACCATCATCAAATTTYTCTTCCAGGAATTTCCACACGTCTTTGCCAGGTTGAGTCATAATTTCAATCAATCTTTCTCTTGTCATGTCTGCAAAATTAGGAACAGCACTATCTGTATAATCTGCCATCTTCGTTCCTGCAATGTTCAAGGTACAAACACGTGAGATTTACAAAAGGCATGAAAAATGCTTTGRAATTAATCAATTGCCCGCTAAAGTTAAGAAATATATAAAATGAGCTTTATTATTGTGGCTGTTGTAGAATGCATATTTTAATTCAAGCTGGTTAACTCCCTATCGATGRTTGCACGACATTAGATATCATTTCAACGTTTCAGCTCACCTTTAGCACACTGAACTCAAAAAACACAGCACAAGCAAACAATAACATCAATTATGAAAACAAAACAAGTTATATGATAATCTGTATAAAAAAATCCCACTTGATCAGCCACCTTTCCAGAAATTGCTCAGGCAGCAAGTTTAACCCGAACGGAAAAAGCACAAGCAATACCAAGATTTTCGGAAAAAAATACAAAACATCTTTTGTAGAAGTAGTTTAATTATGTCTTACCTTGATCCTGAAAAAAGAAAATGAGAAAAGAGCTGTTATTGTTAGCCAAAACAACGTGCTCGCACCCGCCAAAAGAACTGCATARAAAGCTTGTTTTTGTCAASGGCCGATAGGGATTGGGAACAACTCATGCGCTGTGCCTTTTGTCTATATTTCCGGTTATTATAAATAGTATAAATTCAAAATTTCCKGMGTTTTCTTACTGTAAATCTCCAAASAGAAACWTGTTTTGATGGTGTTTGAAATGAAAGTTCTGAACGTTTCTACATCTTTTGAGCAAACATGCTGAATTTAGGTATTTAAGGCTACCACAGGTAGCCCGAACTATAAACGTTGMTTGATGTGTGTTAGGAATAAAAATTTCAGTCTTTTTACTGCTTTCACAGTTACCAAGTGTTCGGCTTTACGTGCTGAGCATTTTGATATCTCACTCATCAATATTGAGCTCAGTTTTCGCACTAGTCAACATACTTTCACGAGTTTATGACGTCACTTWAGTTATTATCTGGGAGCATGTACTTGAAATTTAGTTGAGAAATGTTAAAAAGTCTTATGCACATTCCTAAAGAATTATAGAGTTATCCGTGACAGCCATCAAACGGGAATGTTACTGAGGACATGCAATATATATATATATATAAGGAAGTAAATAAGGAATTCCTTCCTCTACTTCTTCACGATACTTGGTGAAWCATTAATTTACCTTCAGCAACTTGGTCGATGCCAGTTTGTAGCTGATTTTCGCTGTTCAACTCCAATTGTTAACTACAACTTGTTATTATTACGGTTTTTGCCAGTTTTTTCCGGCAAATTATTCATAAAAAATACTAGTTGACTCACACACAACAAATTTCAGTTTCATTCCAATGGGAGTTCGTACCTAATGGACTGAAAGCGAAGCAAGCTGTAAACCAGTTTTATATGTTTTGCTGAAAAGGCAACCAGTTTTCATGACATCGTTTATGCGTAAGTTGTATTTTTAGTTTTCTATTTTGACAACYGTGCAAAACCGCTTTTGACACGTGATTTGCGCGGGAATTTTATCMGAATTCTTGGTAAACTAAAYGTTTTTTAGCACAGCAATATTCAAATTTCCGTGAATAAAAACAAACTAAAGCATAAATGTATTGTGTGATAGATCATGATATCGCCTTCGTTTTKGAGTAATGAKTGCATGGGAAAATTATGCCAATTTATTATCAATGCGTGTAGAATGTCAGATAGATATGAGGGAACAACAGATGAAAAAGACAGATTACAACAATAGCACAACAATATTTCACCTTCTTTTATTTGAACATAAGTTATATCCCCAAATACCATCGAGGATTGACAACACCATATATAGCGAATTGGAATAAAACCTACAATAATACACGTACCTAGCAGAGCTTAGGCCTATTAATCTCGAGATACTTGTGGTATCGAGCCGACAGCAATTTATTAATATCATTTATCGTAATAAGAAACAATCTAAGTATGAATTTTAAATATCTTATGTAACATCAATATGCATTGCTATATTATGCCGTTATTGATGTCCTGCGTGACTGTCGAATGCGCGATCTGAAACAACGATTTCATACAGTGAAATTCTCTCCACTTTTGCCAGAAAAGAGCTTGTARTATGAAAGAAAACACCTTAGTTTGATGGGTATGATTTTCGAGAGCTTTTAAATAGAGTGCATTTTTGGAAACGTTTGTATGTTGTTACACATTATTATGCGGGAGAAGGGAAGAAAGATCTGATACAATATATAACACTAACGCTTATAACACTAACATCTCCACTAAATTCAWCTGATTTTATATAAAATCGTTGTTTCGTGAAACGGGTTGTGTCCCACAATACCTTTCGGTCTCAGATCGGCCATTTTTCAATGAAGAATAGTAATGAGATTACCAGACTATATAAGAGCAGTGAAATTGTGCGCCGGGAAAATTAACGTAAATGTAAAAAAACTGTAGTAAAACAAGACATAGTTATGGTTTATAACAATAAATGTGTGGATTGGTCAATTGTATATATTGTACAAATCAAGGATGTTTCTACAAAGATTTTTTTAAAACTTCAAAAACGCTAGGTGGAGTGAGACGACAACAAGCTAAGCTTTCAATACGGCGGCATTTAATCAAATCTGGATAAAAMCTAGACGCTTTTATAGGGCGTTTACTCGCGTTCTAGCAAAGATGATTCAAATTTCATTTCGTGGAAGACCCATAATTCAACATTGTATCCATATTAGTAAAAAGGTCTATTGAGCTTTTCACCATACCTGCAGTGCATTGTGGAAAAAAATCATTAGATCGCGAAAATGCAACTTGGCAGTGATGTGATACGTTAGATATATATCGTATTTGGAGCATTACTGTCTATTTTCACAAGTTGATGGAATTATTGGTATCTATGTCGACAATGCCTTACAATGTTGTCATGGGAAATTATTATTTAAAAGATGTATATTAGTAAAATTGGTCCTTGTACATGCTTCCCTATCTAGACACCGAAACTTGACAACTCTGTTTTTGAAATGTTCTGGAATGATTGTTGCAAAATAATGACACCATATCTTTATGCCGCCATCTTCAAAGTAACCCTTGCCTTTGCTTGCATCAAACTGACCAAACAAACACTGCAGTGATAGATGACATTTTAGAACAATTATTTACATGTGTCTATCATTGCATACTCAACCTTCTTAATATCTTCTTCAATGCAAGAGAAACTATGGCTACTTTTCAAGATGGCGCTGGGTACCGGACAAAGGAGTCCTTATGGGTTTAAAATACGCATGCCTTCTCAGTCTGTCTCATGCATTTTGGTTTGTTATMAATTTGTTAATGTAGTTGTACGGATTTTAAGAGCCAGTCTTCTTATACAAAAATAAAACACCCCTTGATAATTGAAGAATATAAATGCTGTACAGAAAACGTGTATATAAGCAACGGCATCACAGATATCGGGAAAACGTATTCACTGTAAGTCTTGTTTTGAAACCATTTCCCYAGAGAGTAAACAAAGCTTAACAWAAAKTACCGTGAGTCGTGGTTTTTCTTGTTTTCATACCCATAACATGCCCGTTGTTTCTTTGTTGAATTGACTTTCTAGGAAATGGCTGCAAATCAAGAAAATTAATCTCCTCATAATCGACAAGTTCTCGTAAGTACATCTCGTACGCATTCGGTCGTTTTTGGCCTTTCCAGAAATCATAATGACGGTTGCCGAGTCAAAGTCTACGTGTAAGTTAAGAAAGAGCATACTAAAATTAGTATAGTTGATGAGTTTAGAGTAATCAGACAAAGAATCGAAGTGTTATCAGCGTTAAAACCTCGAAAAAAATATCAGAGAATGGGAACAGCGTACACATCACCAATGAATTCCGGAAAGGCAACATATTCGAACTGCATGCAGGGATCCTGATAACGCATTCTCCCATATGGTAAAGAGCAGAAAGGAGTATGCCCTGGATCGACCACCGCCGAGGACTAGTCGGTACGACCTCGTGGAATTAGTGGTCACGAGAATGAAAATAACGATTTAAAATCGATATCATTCATCAGTGGACGATATGAGTTGTTTATGTGGAATATATTAGTACAAGATTCACAAGGTCAAAAAACTTGTGCATCTCTACCTAAAGATTTRAAAAGAATTGTCTGGCCACGCCCCACTAGGTTAAACTTAATCCACTGTTGTCATAGTTACCACCAATCTTGTATCCTCTTGCGTCATACCCGCGTCACACTACCTAGTCAAGAGAAGAGCTTCAGTAAAGAAAGCAGAGTAAAAGTAGACATTTATAAAGCAAGAAAGAGCTATTTACCATACGAAAAAATATAAAGCCAGCATTAGAAAAAGAACAGTTAGAGAATGAGAAGAGAAAGCCTGGAATGAGTGATGACGTCTTGGGTATGAATCACGCATGCGTCCTCARATRAAATGAATGTCACCACTTGGACACRTGGAGTCTCTGGAATTTGCATTAATTTATTATAATTTGATGCTACATGACTTAACTACGATAACTGGCCTTAAGTAATATGTCCATTATCGAAGCTTCCTAAGCGAAGCACTAAATATTTATCAACAAATTTAAAACAAACCTAGTGGCGTAAATGCTGCAATGTTCAGATTGAGATCAAGAACTACAGGTGCGATCAAATGAGAACATTGAATTGTGAAATAGCTACTGAACTATTGAATCCATGCAAAGACCAAATCATTGGTGGTGAAATATCTTTTTTTTTTTGACATCGTGACTGCGTTTGACCGGCACTCGTTTTACTGGATAACAAATCTAATCTTGCGAGGAAAATCAGCTTTGTGATATGTATAGCACAGTTTAAACAAGTAGCTAGTACTTATTTCACAGTCCGTTATACATGTCGAAGGTCACAGCTAAGGTTTACAACGTCAAAAAGGTGCATTACACTCCTTCACGGGCTAATACGTCATAAACCCTTCCGGTCTCGCACGATCTAAGAGTGCCCTGAATGTCGTATAATGTAATAGTGTACATCAAAAGCCTTGTACAAAATAAGTTATTTGRTAATCATCTAATAGTAAAAAGCTAATCCTGAAAAGGTTGTTTAGATGAAAAGACATTTAGTCAACAAAATCACCCTTATTAAAGCATGTTTTCTATTTTTTATATCAACAGGAGACAAAATCACTATGCACTTTTCAATCTAGAGTTTAAAATTGAGAATTGCATGCAGTGTTATGCAAAGCTCTGAGTAGTGAATTAGACAACCTGTTCGCGGGTTGGCTGTACAATACCTATTGGAATGACTGAGAGTTCAACCTTCACTATCTGCATTTCATATCTTATATCTAATTCCTACAAGCAAACAACTATATGATTTATCTGAGAATGATTCCTGAATCTGATATTATTCTTAACAACATAATAATAAAAGCAAAGTGTGATATTCATCAGGTAGACATTTCTTCACTCGGTTCATATAAAGGTATTTACTGAACAGCAGCACATGCTTATTTCTTACGAGCATAAAACAATCTAAAGATATTTCCTCTAATCACTTTCTACACGAGAAAATTATAGTAACCTAGTATCAAAATAATAATTAATATCTGCCTATATAACGAAAACCCTTTCATTATTCCCTAATTGATTAATTGTGATTGGCTCATATAAACAATTCGAACTATGACGTCATGTGGTTTGGTCACATGACCTTATTATGGATCTAGTAATTGTCAAAACTAAATTGGCACAAAATACACTAATTACATCCTTATCCGCMAATATATCTGTACTGAAGTATTAGTGAATTACATAAAAAAGACTAAAGAAAAACCATATAAAATTCTGATCTCTAATCGGTAACATAAGGGTTATATCAAGTTTGATCTTRTCTATATTGGGTTGTATTAATATACGATAATAGTTTATCTACATCAAAATGTATAGGCAAAACGTTTATCTTAATTCTAGTTGATTGTAGTTATTTACTGGGTCAGAGACTGTATCCCTCTATGACGCTCATGTATGGTTATATGAGTACGTATATTATATATATATGTGTACGTCACTAAAATGCTGTTTCTATGCTGGCATATCGAGGAGGATCATTGCCATCAGACCTGTCTAGTGAGTACTGGTTTTCGTCGATCACCATTGCAGTACGTACTGGAGCAAGAAGGGAATTGAACACAGCCGGTGAAGCAATAGCTCTTTGGCTTCGACCATCGATTACGCTACGGAAGGCGTTCACAACCCTTATCTAGAAACAAACAAACGCCACMGTTAATAACGGAAAATGTACTCATAACCAATGATAATAAAATATGTAAAAAAYGTAAACAAGCAAGCGAGAAGCGAGAAAAAAGACACATATAACTAAAACATAGCAACAAATCATTTCAGCAAACTGTCTCAAATYAAAACAAAATTAAAAAGTGCACGTCAATTATACAAACWTTATAGCGAATAAGGAAGTATGCAAACCAATACGCAAGGCTTACAAGAACATCAACCAAGCTACAAACCTGATGCTGAAGTCTGGTGAGACCACGTATCCATAGCAACCTGGCACGACTGTCTTTTCCACCATCAGGCTCAATGATTGGCTCCAAAGGAACACCACCTCTTCCAAACCGACACAATTTAGGGAAGGAATTCTTGGGAATGGTAAGAACAAGTTGACCCCATATCAACGAACTAAATCCCAAGAAGACTGTCCACATCCATTCTTCCCAGTTGAGTCCAGTCACGTGGAAGGCCTTACCAGTGAACTGCATAATTAAGATCTGAAAACAGACAAGATATCTTGGTTATAGCAATCAACCATTTTAACAGACTTATGTTATTACTGTACTAATTAATATTTTGTACATTCTGCGCGAGTCTGAAACACTCGAGACATCTAAACGCTATATCTCGACTCATCAGCTCAAAACAGCTCAAACAGCTCATCACTGGAAAAAGTATTCAATTGTAAGACACCTTACCTGAACAATAAATGTACCAACAAAGATACCGACGAATATAGGGTTTCTAAAGATTCCCTTGAAGACATTTCTCTCTCCATGTACCATACGTGAATTGATTTCATTGAATAGCTGCATCATGACAAACGTATTAAAGATAATGGCAGAATGGCTGGTAGGTTTGCAGCGTGTTGACGGTTCAAAACCAAATTCAATATCAAAAAAATCATGACCTTTGAAAAATCTAATCTTGCGAGGAAAATCAGCTTTGTGATATGTATAGCACAGTTTAAACAAGTAGCTAGTACTTATTTC